TTTTTAAAAAATGCCACAGTTTTGACACAACATTTGAGAGTTCACACAATACTTGTCCATTATTTGTCTTTTTATATAGAAAACCTAAATGTTTCAGCACTCTCCACAAACTTGTTAAACTAATATCACACAGTTCCTTGTCTTTTATTTTTTGTAATACAGCACTAATTGTTACATGTTCTTTGGCTTTATACATATTATAGTTATATAATTTTTTTAATTTCAAGTTTAATTGACTGGTGCAAATCTAAAGTTTTTGGATGTCGACGATTTCTCTTGTTTACTTTATTTATTTCATCCTCACTCATGTTATTAATTCTTCGGAATATCCTCTCTGAGATACCGCAAACATCGCATGTGCGTTCTGAACTGCCATACCAGATGTCAATGGACCCATATTATTTTTTTCCGAATTGAAATAACTTTCGACTTTCAGATCTTAACGCCGTTCTTCTGGAAATAACACTCTACATTTCAACTGTATTTTATTTTCTTTCAAATTACTTATTTTACTTTAAAGTACCGCTTCACTACACTACCATAAAAAAATAGATACTTATATACAACTACTACACCCTAAAAAGGACGAGGGTTGTACAACAGAGGAAACAATCGAACACAAATTATTTAACAGTTAATGCTAAACAAGCATAAATACTGCATTGATTGTGATTGCAAAAACCGTTCGCATGTTTTAAATAAGATTTTTGCTGATTATGTATTTTGCTAAATTATTAAATAACACCAATACAACCCACGATCACGGGACACATTCAGTATTGTTAGTCTCGACACATATAGGGGAAAGTATTGGTGTTAACTGTGTACTGCTCCAAGAAGAACATCTAGTATTTGAATTGGAAGTCCAAAAGCCTGCTGATTTTTGTTCTTGTTGAAACTCCAATGAAACTTTTTTCTTATATTTTTATAATCTTCGTCCCTGAAATCATAAAGTATAGGATATTGTTTCACAATTTGAATTAGTTTTTCTGTAACAGCCATTTTAATTCACGCGAAACTAGAAATGCAGCGGAAAAAACCGTGCATACAGTGTTTTATGAAAACATCGCTGATCTGCCGCGACCGTTGCGGATTCCGCCCCAACTTGTCTGAACAACTGCATAAGTCGCCGTGCCTTACGATTCGCCGCGATTCCGCGTAGGTTGCGGCTGCGAAAGTTTCGCGTCGGTTTCTGGAATCCTATAAGCATCGCTTGTAAACTGTGTTGATTACTCTCGTTTGAGGAATGCCCAAATGAGTACCAAAAATAATATCAAGTCCTAATAATTGTCAAATTCTATGACGTAGCGTAGACTCCTGAAGAAGGCGCTTTAATTAAACACACAAACCCACAAATTTCTAGAACTCCCTATAACAGCATAGAGAAATTGTTAATTTATCTACATCCTTCCGTCTTGACAGTAACGATTTCGCAAAAGATTATTTCTTAGTGTACAATATGAAAAACTATCGGTCTTCTAAATATTCTAATCCATTATCTGTCTGCAGCAAAGGCAGCGTTAAAAAAGGAGACACGGACGAATTTATGAGTGTCACTTAGTAGAACTCTCGAAAAAAACACAGAGCCATTAAATCAAACTACGTTCGGAAAAAATGCCGCAAATATTTCATCTAGACGTAAACAAAACGTTGAGTTTTTGCTTGACAAAAGTTTTTCCTATGGCTCGTTTTGGCATCAAAGAAATATAGCAACACGTCAGGGAGATTTTCCGAAACGGACGTGACGACGAGGAATTTGCGTCGGAAGACTAAAAGAACATACGGAAGGGTTTCAACGAAAAAAGTAAAATGTAAACTTTATGTTTGCGAAAAAAGTCTATTATAAATATATTTTTTATACATTTTTTAAAAGGTTGATCATTTTAAATTTTGTGTCCTCTCGTGGAGGACAAAAGGTTCCCTAGAAGACATAACAACAGTTAATTATGCATAAAGATCGGATTAAAAGCATTTTTCTATTTTTTTTTATAATTAAGCATTATTATTAAAAATGCTCTCTCGTTCATAAAAATAAACTATAGCAGCTACTGTTCTTTAGCTTTGCGACACTCTTTACACGTCGACGTAATCGTCTTAAATGGTGCAGAGAACGATTGACTTGGGACCAGGAATAGAATGGGTTTGTCTTTCGTGATGTTTAAGAATACATGATGGCCGAGCCAGTGTCAGAAGCCGACCTGGTATTTTGTCGAACAGTATTTTGCACCGCACTGTTAAGGTTATGGTGTGGAATCCATTCGCTTATAGTTCAAGGTCACCTCATCTCATTCAGATGCAACAAAAATCAGTTTTTCAACAGATTAACGCAAAGTCACAGATTGCGAAAGTCACCTTGGACTTCTTTGAACAGTCATTATTTTGCCCCGAGCCCCAAGATATCCAGATTTATTTCCAATTGAACACGTGCGGGAAATGATGGGTCGGAGACTTCTTAACATAGCATTCTCCTCAAACCTTTGGAAACACGTCGGGAGTAGTTAATTAGGACATAGAACAAGATACCCCAGGAGGATATTGACCACCTTAATCAGTAGCGAGTCCAGGCGCATACAAGAGTGTGCTGACCACCGAGGTGCATCAACACGTTATTAATTGATTTACTCCTATAAGTTATTTCAATCATATTGAAATTTTTATCTTTTGTTTATTTTGCTACCCTTTTTTTTGAAAATATTAGTTTTTGTGTATATTTGTTGTGACTGGATAATTTTTCCTATAAAAAATATCTACTAGTAAATTTTTTTCTAGAAAACTACTAAATTTCTTTTTCTACGGGCGAAATTTCTACCTAAAGTACCATTTAAATGAGAAACAATAACATTTTTCCAACAGTCATTTGTTGAAAAATGTATTCAATTGTCAGTAGAAGATATAATTGATTACTATTAAACTGGGAATAAGCCACAATTAAAGATAAAAATACGTTTATTGACGTTTCAATTTCCACTTCGGAAATCGTTCTCAAAATACAAACAGTAAATTAAACAAATTTTGTTTTTTGTTGTTGCTGGACGTAACTTCAAGCCCTTTGGTATTAATATATTAAGATATAATTGGTATGGATATAAAACGTATGAGAGAAAGTAAATAAATCTATCGTCTACACATACTCACCGAAAGAATAAATATTTCTTAATAATACATACCTGAAAAAGAAAAAAAAATATAAATTTGTAGAATAAACTGGTAAATTATATTATGTTCCCTGTTTTTGCGGGAATATTATAGAACAGTTTAGAACAACGGATCAATGTGTCGAGAACGGTAGGTACGATTTTGTACAAGCACGGATGACCATAAATACATATCTAATGCCTTTATGGCATGATGTTTCATTTTTTTTATCTTTGCCATCGTATTCTATTCAGTAAATCCAATCATTTGACACCTCGTACCTATCTGCGAGTTAATGCGTTTAGGTAATATTATAAGCTTTAGGTCTTTATGACATACCGCCGTATGTAATTTATATTTGTGATTGTATTATATTTGTTGAATCTTATGATATGATACCACAAACGTCGCGATTGGCCCGATAGTAGCAAAGATACGTGTCAAAAACCCCTTTGACATCCCACCATGTGTAATTTTTCTTTGTCATCGAATTCTATTCGTTAAATCCTGTCATATGACCCCTCACACGTCACGATTGACCCGATAGTAACAAAGATATGGGTTTAAAGTTTTTTGGAATTACTACAGCTGATTTGCGCAGCCTTGCTTACCAACTGGCTGAACGGAATAACATCATCCATGGTTTCAATAAGGAAACGAAATTAGCAGGAAAAGATTGGGTAATTGGGTTCAGAAAGCACCATCCCAAGCTCGTGTTAAGAAAACCTGAGGCGACTTCAGCAGCATAGGCGCAAGCATTTAAAAAACGAATGTAACCAAGTTTTTTGACATTTTGGAGGATGTTCAAAAACATCACTTGTATCTTCCTCATTGGGTTATGAATGTTGATGAAACTGGACTTATGACTGTCAAGTCAAAGTCTTCAAAGGTTTTTGCTCTAAAAGGGCGATGGCAAGTCGATTCTCTTATATATGTAGAGAGAGGTGTTTGTAATTTTGGAAGAGCTTTTGTTTGGAAGAGATTTTCACACAATGGTTTGATCATTTCTTAAAGTTTGCGAAGCCATGCGAAGACCACCCAATTTTGCTTATACTTGATGAACATTTCACCCATACAAAACATCTAGATTTCATTGAAAGGACTAGAGAAAATTACACAACTCTAGTTTACATTCCCCCCACTGTGGTCATAAGCTGCAGCCACTCGATGTTTCTTTCATGGGGCCCTTTAATACTTATTATGTCCAAGCGATCGAAAGATTCTTGCGTAATAATCCTGGTAGATTAGTGACACAGTATCAGGTATCTAAACTTCTTGGAGAGACATTTCTATTTGCAACTACTCCAACTATTGCGGTAAAGGTGTTTGGAAAATGTGTCTAGTTCCTATAAACAGACAAAAGTTTACTGAGGTGGATTTTGCTGCAGCCATGACCACAAAAATTTCGCTGCAAGATTCTATCTCTCTTCAAGAAGGTAAAAATCAAGAACTGGGTGTTGAATACCAAGAGGAAACTTCTGCTGTTGTGCCAAGAAAAGATTTAGCAGATTCGCAACGAAATATTCCTCGACGTCAAGAGACACCACTTGCAAGTAAAGAGAACCCGCCTTCTGGAGAGATAAATTTCCGACCAGCAACTTCTGCATCTAACGCTTCAGTTTCTATGTTTTTTAATGACGACATACAAAAGACACTGTAGGATCTGGAGATCCAAACTCTACATTCGTTCTAATCTCTAAAGACTCGCCAAAGGCAAGTACTTCAGCAACTTCAAGGGCAAGGGATACTATGCTTTTGCAATAAGCCCTTAGGATATTGTTCCAATCCCTAAAGCAAATATTATCAAATGAGAAAATAAGCGAAAAAAAGGAACAGCTGCAGTTTTGACCTCAACCCCTTTCAAGATGGAACTAGTAGACGCAAAAGCAGAAAAAGAAGAAAAGGAAAGGCTTAAAAAAATAAAGCTGAAACTGAAAAAAGAAAATCAGCGTAACAAGAGGAATGATGGAAGCAAAGAAAAATTTAAAGGAAACCAGAAAACGAAATCAAAATCAGGGAAGCGTGCTTTATTTAATGAGTCAAATAGTGACGTGAGTGATACTGATTGCCTTTTCTGCGAGGATTCTAAGTCAAGGGAAAATGAAGGATGGATAAAGTGTTCGGTAGATGTTGGTAGGGTTAGGGTAAAAAATATGTATCTAAAAAATTTACCGAGGAAAACTGAAAATTAAAATTGCCTTATGTATATAGGATATCGTATGTTATTTTATATAGTGTATTTCTTATTTATTTTCTTCAAGATAAAAAAAATATTCCTTAGCATGACCAATTTGCCCTTCCCCTACGTATTTCAAGGATTTGTCATCAGGATTCCTGATGTATCTTTTAGAACCTTCAAAACCTGTATATATAAGGTTTTTTCAGTTTTTTTTTATTATCAAAAGAAATACGGTGGCGGTCAAAACTGTCCTTCGCTCACTGGCAGACGAAATATTAAGGAGAAATAAGGTTAGATCACGACCTATAAACCTGAAACACAATATATTATTACCAAACACCATCTATGAAAGTCGTCACTACTTCAGAATACTATTGCCTGTTAAAAATCATATACAGATTGAACCAAATTAAAACGGAACATACAATTTAATACAATGTCTGTTTGAACTGCATTTGAAATAGTGGACCAATATAAAACTTGGACAAAAATAAATCCATACCTGGGTATAGACATTGTATAAAATATCGTTTAACTATCTGTTTCACAACAATGTTGTTTGCGTAAGACGGGTTTGTCTAAGGAAACGATAATAGTTCAGGAAATGAATCTCGAAAAAAGTTAAAACCTCGCAATTTTTTCGTCCTGCATGTATCCAGTTGAAATTTTAACAGAAGGTAGGTGACAGCCCAAGGATCAAAATCTATATCGAACCGAAGTGCGCTGGAGGGTTTTAGGGGTGAAAACTACCCCTAATTGTCAAAAATTATAAAATAACATATTAAACCTGAATATGGGTAAAATTTGGTTTGAATTAATTAAATAATGATAGTTTCGTGCTTTTGAATAAAGTTCCATCATATTTCAACCCTTAAAAAGCGACCCTTATTAGAGATTAATATAAAAAAATTAGTAATGCGAAGAAAATGATTTCACCTTGGAACGATTTGCATAAAAATTTGGACTTAAGCTCAACTCACCCTCTGCTTTATAGTTTATGTCATGCCGATGAACCCTGATTGTTCTTAGGGATGAAAACTACCCCTAATTTTCAAAAATTGTAAAATAATATTACAAATCTTAAGATGAGTGAAATTTGGTTTGGATTAGTTAAATATTGATTTTTTTATACTTTAAAATACAAATTCATACATTTTCAACCCTTAAAAATCAATTGTTATGAGTGCTATAGGTGAAAACAATTTTTTGCAAAATTTGAACTTTTCAACTTTTGAAAATCACCCTTTACAACATTGCAGTTTTTATAAACTAATTTATAAGATATAAATTGAAAAAAGTAGAATTAAATACAAAAAAATTTATCAACATAAAAAGGCACCATATATTCTTATACATTTACATAAATAGTAGAAAATATTTACATTTATAAGTAAAACAATTATAATATTAATTTTATTCGTCATCAATTACATCTTCATCGTGATCTATGTCATCCTCATCTTCAATTATTGGTGGACTATTATTGCACCCTTCACCTGAGCACCCAGAACAAGTAGAGTTACAGTATAAACCAACTTTTCTGCACCCACATGAAACACCGCATCCTTTTTTGCATTGCCAAAAAATAATTTTCAAAAGTTCATCGAGTGCAGGTTGTTTGTTCATGCGTACGGGTAATAACAAACCATCTTTGGAATACCATCCCCAATCTGTTGCTCTAATATTTTCATTGCCAAGCCATAGACATATAAGCAGATGTTTTATTCTGTTGTATGGGATTTGTAGAGGTTTTTAAGAGCTACAAGGATCTGTGAATTAAATCTTTTTGGAACCCTTGGTTTTTAAATGGGGTGAGTTTAAAGGGCTCGAAAAAGATGGTGCTTGATCGTAAATCGATGCTTTAAACGGCTATATCTCGCCAAATATTCATTGTACAACAAATCTAAATGAAGGATAATTTTAGTCATTAAAAAAGCTACAATTTGGTAATTTGTATTTTTTTCATATATTCAGTATTTTCGGGCATATTTAAAAAAAGAAGGGTAAAAAATATGAAATTGTAAATCGTTTCTCGCTTTAAGCTGTACTTTTTCTAACACAAAGCATTTTAAATGGGTCAAACTTCTTGGACGTATTAACAATACATGTACAAAGGGAATTTCAGAAGGGTAAAGATCGATTTTAATTATGGAGGACGTTAGGGTGTTGTTTCGATTTTTTCGTAAAAAATGAGGTATTGACCTTATTTTCATCATAACTCACTCAATTTTTGAGCTAGAGTCTTTTTTATGATAGGTCTATTTATGCTCTTTAAAAAAGGTTTTGTGAGTTTTCTTCCAAAAATGCATTATTTTCCCGATATTTGATTTTGAATCTTTCAAATTTGGCATTTGAAGAAAACCGCTGAACATTGATAGGCCGTATTTCGGTTCCTATTATATCCCAAAAACATTTTAAACAATGAATTGTATTTGTCTTTTTAAAAGCTACAAATTTGTTCTCTACAATTTTTTTGATAAAATGCACCATTTTCGAATTATTCGCGAAAAATCGATTAAAAACGTGGATTTTTTCGTCTAAAAGTTATTACTTTCAATCGCGGATAACTTGAAAAATATCATTTTATAAAAAAAATGTATAGCACATTTTTTGTTTAGAATCACTTTTTTAATCGAAACCTGTAGTTAAAACGTAAAAAAATTTTCACCCCGGAGATGGGGTGGCAACCACCCCCTAGGCTTTGGCGCACTTTGGTTCGATATAGATTTTGATCCTTAGGCTATTACCTACCTTCTGTTAAATTTCAAGTCAATCCACGGAGCACGAAAAAATTGCGAGGTGAAATGCTTCATTTCCTGGACTATAACTGGTTTGACAGCATAAATCGTAGATTTATGTGTAGCTTTCAATTTTTATGAGTTCAGAATCCAGCAGCCCGCTGAAGTATTGGATTTTTATAATATAATTATGTGACAATATTTTGTTGGCCAACCACCTACAGCAGAATTGAGCCGAAATACATTATATTCCTATGTTCCGAATTTATTTCGTTCAATCTGTAGATGAATGTAATTTACATAACTTTAAGAGCTATTTTTGAGTATTCGTTTTTTACCTTTATTCCCTTGCTGATTAATCAATTTAAGAGCTTTTTTAGTTACTGTTAGGTTCGTTTCTTTCCTATGTCAAAATGAAAAAGAACTTGTTATATTAAATACACTAAACCATACTAAATTTAAAATTCTTTATCTGATCTGGATTCTTGTGCAGATCTCTTCGAAACACAATGGGCGCTTTGTCATTAGGATTCATGTTTCAAGTCCGGCCCTATATCTATTAATGAGGGCTCATGAACTGTAAATAAAAGCGACAACACATTAAAAACGTCTAAACGATATAAAAAGAGCCTTTTTGTTCCATTTCCTCTGCCGCTAGGAGAGAAGTTCAAGTAGATTGCAGAGAGAAATATTTCGAACAAAGGCACATAAAATTGGTATCAAGGCCTACTGTGTAAATCGCATCGTCGATGCACAGAAACAAAACACCATCGTTGGGATATTAGGATCTAGATAGGGATACGGATATGAAACGTGAATATAAAAAAATAAAAGTACGAAAAATAGGCAGCATTGGACTTTCATTAGTATCTTTATTGTCATAGTTTAAGCCCACCTGTCGATAAAAAAATTATCTAATCTATTATATTAACTAGAACCCTAAATATGTAATAATTTTTTACCACCGTTATATACTTTCGGAAAATGGAAATCGAGTTATTAAGAACGGAATAATAATATACAGCCATCGAAAATATTGTAATTGAGAACAGCTGATTATATAGGTAAATGGCGTTCACATTAAACAACATTAGATATGTGGACGACACTGTGATCTTAGCCGAAAGTATTCTTTAGAGAATGGTGACCAGAATAGGGAGTATGGAAAAGAGTACGCGTCAACAGATGAATGTCAAAAAGACGAAATTTGATGTGAATATCGAAAAAATTCGAGAGGAAGCCAGGGCAGGTTTCACAGCCGGGAAAGAGGAAAGCAGGCTTTGATCACATTTAACCGGTTCGAACACTCATAGAAACAAGATATGGCCAATAATAGATTCCCGCTCCATATGGATTTTATTTAAAGTCTGGCGTACACTTTTATAAACGTCAAAGGGGATCTACTTTTCTTCTTCGGGTTCATTCTTCATGCGGAGGTGGAAATCATAATTCGCTAAATTTACTTTGTTGCCGCATTTCTGAACAATTCTAATGAGCTGCAGCCGATCACTCTCTCAAATTTCTAGCCAGGACATTTTGCGTCGTCCGGGGTTCTATCTTCCCTTGTATTCTTCCACTCTGCATAATCAACCTCAGTTATACGTACTTCTCACCACCATTAAATGTCCCAGTTATTGAATCTTTCTAATTTTTCTCTGTTTTTCTGTACTTCACAATTCTTTCTTCATTCTTTGTACTAACACCTCTAATATTTGTTTCTTTTTCAATCACGATATTTTATGCATTCTCTGTGCACCTACGTTCTCAAAGGAGTTTATTTTTTGATTTCAGAATGCTTTATTGTTCACGCTTCCAATGCCATTATAGTAAAGTAGAGAAGGTGTAACAAGTAGCGTTTATTGTGCGAATCTCTTAGATTACGGTTACGGTTGCAAAGTAATTTCTTCAATTTTTCATGAACGTGTTTCTTGCCATTTCTATTTAGATCTGATTCTACTTTACTTGATCTCCATCTTCGGTTAGCCACGTTCCTAAATATTTATTTGTTTTTACACTTTCTATCGCTGTATTTTTGCTTGATCAGGTTTTTTACATTTTGTGGTTTTTTTGAGAATATCATTGATTTAAGTTAGTATTTGTTGTATTTGTATTACAATGTTGTATTTTGTACTGTAGATCTTCCATGTCACTTGCAATATGTACAGTATCGTCGTACTATTTCTCGGAATGCTATTTTCGTGAAATTAAATTCATTCCACGATATCCAATAAAGGCATTTGAAAAATACTTCATGTAGACGTTGAATAAGAGTGGT